ACAGAGCACACAAGGACATCTGTGTCTGCCCCCTTTAACGTGACTGACAGAGTGGCAGTAATCCTCTGATAGAGTGTGATCTTTGAATTAGAACCCATGCAAATATGCACTCATAAGTTCTATTTAAATCATCCATTCAATATAAGTCATCTACTTAAAGTGCATGGGCAGAAATGGGAGCTTTAGACTTTGGTCCCCCATGACCCAAAACATTTTTTACAAAGTTCAGATTAAAACAGAAACAGAAAACAAGGATATGGACTCATTAGGTAAGTATACCTTTAGGGTATTTGGAAACCCCCGCTGATCGGATGAATTTAAACCAAACTTGATATAATTGAAGTAGTAAGTTACAGTCATATTAGGTAGGATCCAGGTTTTATACATGGCAAAACTATTTACTCTAGCTCATCAAAAGGCCAATAAAGATAATGATTTTTTTTTAAATATAACAGCACAACATCCAACATTTGTAGGCAGATGCTGTCACAGGAACCATAGGTGATAACTTTGTTATTGTTTCTATATTACATGGAACCATGGAAGATACAGTGGAGTAAAGTTTGTAAAGTTTGTGACACTATAATTGTACCTCTCATATAATATAATAATATATGTTAGTGTTAGTACTAGTATTGATAATATACAATATATTACTGCTATATTGAAGATAAGGCCAAGGATGTGGCATTGAATTCAACCTGTAACTAGAGGGCCGTCTTTAAAGGCATATAGTTGCCCCTGCCAGCTATGACCACACCGAGCCCCAGTTAAGCATTACCACATCCAACTTACCACAAGATAGGTGTTTTCTGTCACTAATCATGTTAGGCTGGTTTTCCAAAGTGAAATAAGTACTATCCATGTATACATAACATGTCATTTCAAATATAATGGCAATATCAGCATTTTTTGACCTTCAGCTTGATGTTGAAATATCACCCAAGGTCAAATGTTACATCCCCAGTGGGAAGCCTATGTATGGTTTCACAGAAACACACACAGAGACGCACAGATGGGACTGATTCCTGTATTCACAATGCATGGATCAGATAACAGTTCCCAAGTGTCCCTGTCAAAAAGTCAAGACAACATGATACATTGAAAGAATATCAGGGGCAACTATAGAAGTGTACTTTTATAAAGAAAACATCTCCCACTTGTTCTTTCAATGCATCATGTCTTGACTTATTGACAGGGACACTTGGGAACCGTTATCTGAACCATAATCTGTGAATTATATGAAGCTTTTTAATGCTGTTTTATGTGGAGAGCCTAAAGAGGGCAGTACAATATCTAAAGAAGATAGATTAAATTCATTCCAAACTGTGTGGATGTAAGACTCTTGTTAACCTTTGCCTTTAATGTGCCTGATTGTGTGATTGGCTTATTGATCCTCTTGGTGTGCAGCTTAAATGTAAATGAGGGGAAAATAGAAACATTTAAAGTTGCCCTGCGACTTTTTGTCAGTTAAGGCAGAGCTACATTAATAATATATAATAGTTAAGTGTAACATTCAATTTTTTCACTTTTCCTATGAATTGTTGATAGTAATGTCTGCAGGCAATCCAGACTCACCCCTTTATGTCTTTAGATGAACGTCACTACATCCTGATGTGTCGGCAGGACTGGCATACTTATATAACTCCAACTACAGCTTGAAGCCTCATCTTAAGCATCCATCTATAACATCAGTCATTTGAGAATAGTGTCAAGACAAGAGGATCAGCTAAAAGGCAAGAGAAAGTTCCTCTGTTTTACATTATCTGCCAAAAAACTACCAGGAAGAGATCCTCACCAGTTAAAATAAGGACACAAAACACTGACACAGGTAGCAGGATACAGGTTAAGACTGAGCAGGTTACCTTTAGGTTACAATATTTAACTGGGGAAAGTTTTTCTCAATTTCCCTTCAGTCAAACAAACATTTTATCCTACACAGATTTCTTTCTTTCATGAGTTTGTGTCACTGTATTTGACAGAAATCATTGCATTTTCCTGTATTTTTTGACCATTTAATTAACAAAAATGTGTATTATGCTTGAGCAAATGAAATCCCAGCTAATAAAATTGGGTTTTAAAATACATGTATATATGTTTTGACTCTCAGATCTTATCATTTTTGTACTGGTAATTTTTCTTTGGTGCTGGCTAAAACCTCTTTGTAACAAAACCCTGATATCTGTGAATATTGCTGATGTGTTTTGGTCTTAATATTTGGATGAAATATACAAGCCTGCCTAAAAATAACTGAATACATAATTACATTCATATAAAATGACGACAAATAGCCACCCATGGACTGGGATGCATATTGCCTGACTCATTCCATCTAATCCATCCATTTCAAGCATTTGTCTCAGACTATTGTTCGTGTTTTCACTGTCCAAAATAGACAATGAACAAAGCATGGCCTGAATGCCAGTACTTTTCCACAAGGACAATATCATTAGTTTCCTCTTGGGGAAAGAGGGAGGGCATGAGTCGAGTGGGGGCTGGTGGAGGAGCAATGTGTCAGAGAGGTGGAATGATATACAGCAAAGAGAATTCAAAATGTAGTTTATATCAGAAGGCTGACACTATAGGTGTGTGTTGTGTTTTACACCAACACAGGAGAGCTGAAGTACTGGCCAGCAGCTTTATTAAGGGAAACGTAAGAGTAGGTGAGTTTGCACAGGTAGAGCAATCTGTTTAACGAGTGCCGCATCTGTACAACATCAGTAAACAGTGGTGGTAGAGGTATTTATTTGCCGCATTTTGCAGTATTAAGCAATACTGCGCTGTGGCTACAATTACTGTATTAAGGAAGTAAAATGATTGGCAGCAGAAGGTATTTTGGTGAGTTACTATCACAAGGGAAATTAAATATTAACACAGAATGGATAGTTTCGGTGTTATATTATAATTAATGCATTGACCTACAAGTGGTGTGTGTTTGTATTGCAGCTGGTCAAGGTGGAGCTCATTTACTTTGTTCGTAAACCACGACAATTTTTATAAACCGATCAGAGTGTTTCATGTAACATCATATTCTTTAGAGAAGCTACTGACGACAGCTGTTAATACATGTAAATAAACTATAAAATATAATTTTTCAGCGTGTGGGCTGCAAGGTGGAGCGGTGGTTAGCACCGTCGCCTCATAGCAAGAAGGTGGCCGGTTCACGTCCCAGTGAGGACACCTGGGATCTTTCGTAGTGGAGTTTGCATGTTCTCCCCGTGCAGCGTGGGTTCTCTCTGGGTTCTCCTCCTCCCACACAGTCCAAAAACATGTTGAGGTTAATTGGTGATTCTAAATTGTCCGTAGGTGTGAATGTGAGTGTGCTTGGTTGTCTGTCTCTAAGTGTAGCCCTGTGATAGACTGGTGACCTGTCCAGGGTGTCCCCTGCCTTCACCCTGAGTCAGTGGGGATAGATTCCAGCCCCCCGTGACCCTAGTGAGGATGAAGTGGTGTATAGATAATGGATAGATGGATGGATGGATGGATGGATGGATTTCAGCATGTAACTGGTGGTAAATTAAAAAAAAAAAAAAAAAGCAGATAAAGGTCATGTCTTCAAGTCAAAAATGACTTGTCAGATACCATTTGTAATATTTTGTCTACATACAGATTCACAGTATTTCGGTAAATACTCTTAGTTACTTTAAAGCACTGAAAATAAAGAAAGCATTGTCTGATCAGCAGCACTGTTTAGCATTTCACCTACAATCAATCATTTCTTTGACAATCGCCTGAAGGCTTTAGAAAGGCATATTTCTCCATGAGCAGAGGTGAATTAAGGTCATTCTTACTCATGTTCAAACTATCGGAGGCATTCAGTCATGGTTTAGAGAATGATGCACAAATATCAATCACATCTTCCTGCACAAGTCAACATCATCACACTGCTATAACAGAACTCTTCTCAAAATCAAGTAAGGAACTGAAGGAGAGGTTTTTAGGTGACTACAAAAAGTTGTTTGGTTTATTTTTTATTGCTGAAAAGTTACTTATTTACCTGTTTCCATCAAGCACCTGCCAAAAAAAACCTGTGAAGGAAAGGTGATTTTATCAAACTATTACCAGCTGCTGCATTCCCCTTCGCAGTGTGCATGCTACATTTTAACTTGTTGCTATGGGAAGTCATGAGACATCAGTGATGAGAAATGAGTCACAGTCTAAATAGGAATACAGATCTTGGCCCTCTAATGATCGTGATCTGATCGTGAAAAAACAGTGTTGGTGTCAGTCAACGGATCATCTAACTATATGATACTGCTATGATAGGCTAGGATTTTATATATTGGCATGTGTGCCTTATACCAAACAGCTGAAAGTCTATTTTCTCTTTTAAATCTGCTCTTAATTATGGAAACTTACAGGTTTGGTGGACAGAGGATAAAAAGACGTATGGAGCTAAACTGGTACGTTGAGGCGCATAAGCCACTGACGCTGGCTTTTAATTGGTTAAATCTTGTGTACAGATGCCTGGAATCAGCCAATCCTCATGTGGCTGTGAGCAGATTAATAAATCCTTGCTGGGGGTTTTATGCAATTCTGGTCAAAAATAACAGAGAGGCCCCACATACAAGAGACACTGGAAGACAGGATTATTTTATGACAACCCCAGCCAAATGCAAATTCCTTCTTCTCCTCAGAGTTTTGAACACATTGTAATCATGATATACAGGAAGAAGTTGCACAACAATCACAGAGAAACAATGCAGTCATTCAAAAGTTGTAATAAGATGAGTGTGTGTGTCAGAGTGAAGGACATATCTGATCTGATCTGAATTAAAAACCATTTAGCAATTTCTTTACAACAGATGCTTACATGAATTTTGGACGTAGCTGATTAATAAAAATGTTTCTGATGTTGCAACAGCCCAAACAGGATATTAAAAAGCACACTGGTTTGCCACTTCATTTCAAATTGATGTTAATATTGAACTAGACTGACCTTATGGAGCCTGTTCTGCATACTTGTGTGTGAAAATATGAAGAATGAAAACACATCTCTCTGTTGGTCTTCACGGAAACTTTATTTTCAATCTCTAAAAATAAAATCCATAAAAATAACAAGTGTATTTTCTTTCAGACGGAAAGAAAACATTTTTAAAGCTCTTTCCCATACAGCAATCGTCTCTTATCAATCCATGTGATGCATCATTTATGGCTGACATTGATAAGAATGAGCCTGACACATTATGACACTGACGTTTTGGACTGAACTCCTGTCAAATTTCACAATACATATAAACACAGTATGTTTCCTTTATTTTTGCTGTACTCTGGTGATAGGGCGCTCACGTGTGGACACGTGGAAGTAATGACAACACTCCAAAAGGCCAGCAACTTTATGCACCTGCTTGAATCACCTTTGATAACATGAGTGAGCTCATCCAGTGGTGTGCTAACCAGGAAACAAACATCTGACATGTCATTGTTGCTTTTGCAATATCATTCACCTCTGACTAAAAACATACTGGTGAAATGGCTTTAAACAAATGTGATATCAACTGCACAAACATTTCAGGACATAAAACAACTCCATTTTTGTGTTCTTTAACTTTTTTGTTTTTTTTTAGCATTTCACAATAAGACACATTTGGTTGGAGGTTTATAAAAGATGCACTTGAAATAAGATTAAATGACATTTCACTGCAGTGCACTGACACACAGTAGATACACAGCTTACTATAGAAGACACGTACATGGTGGGTGATGCAATGAGCCCTGAAATATATTGTACACAATGTTAACAGAATGCGACAGACTTGACACGCTTTTCAATTACGTCAAACATTAAATGAGATATGCTTTAAAATATAAACATGTACAGAATCAGGAGCATTGGTACTTGTGGCTTTTTGTTATGATAAAATAGTAGAGCATTAAAAGCTGTATGTTGGTTTTTAACACAGAATACAGTCACACACACACAAAAAAACAACTCAACAATAAAAACACAGTAGTAGAAAACGCAGTATATAAACTCTTAAAAATAGCAGTACAGCTCCAGATATTACTGGAATTTGGTCAACACATTAAACAACCAATCCCATCGCTGTTTATTTGAATGACAAAAAAGGAAAACTTAGAATCTTGTGCTTCTTTTTCTCTCTCTCTCTCCTCTACTGCAAAACTTAAACATATTCTATATACCAAATACTAACTGTAAACTCAACTAAATGATTTTTGATGCAATACCTCTGGTAGGCTAAAGAAAATCAAACATTTTAATAATCACCATACATATAATGATCATATGCAACACCAGCAGTAAAGCAATGCTTCTTCGAACTTAAGATTAAATCGTTTCTCCCCAAAATTCATGAGCGACTTCTTACAGAAAAAGAGGCTTCAATGTCATGTCTACCCCGTCTCTCAAGGGGAAAAAATTAAATAAAGGATATTCAGTTATTTAACCTTAAAATGATCATCCAGGGCACAACACAAATTAAAGTAATCACATACTTGAAGTTTTACTGATATAGCGTAGTAAATAATCAGTGTTCAGTGGCAGATATTTGTACAAAACTGCCTCTAACCTCTAATTGTTTTTAGAGTAACTACAGACAAGATGTATGCTACACCAGCAACTAAACCTACAGTCACTGTCAAAAAGAACAGAGAAAAAATAAAAGCTTTAATCACAGGATACATTTGTTTTTCACAATACAAAAAAGAAAGAAAAGTGCATATGTCAAATAAGGCAAATATTAAATTCAGAGTACAAAAATTCCAGTATACATTTTAAATGCAGGATTAGCAACAAGCGCTGTACAAAACAGACACACTAGTGTCAAATGAGCTTTAAAGTTTTAGAGAAGTCACATTGTTTTCATGTGGAGAAGCTTTAATCATTACAAAAAATGATTAGAATAAGCTTAGATCCCTGTTAGAGCTACAAAAGACAACTGTAAATATTACAGACAGAGCTTCTTAAATCTCTGAAAATTCAGCTGTTTGAAACAGCCCCAACCCTCTCTCATACCTTCCACCAACATAAAAGCCCCCGCATTAGTCCCCGTTAGTTCAGTGCAGGGTTCAGCTACAGTGAGAAATAAACAAACATGAAGATGCCCACAGAGCAGACACATAGCAGACCCACGTTGAGGAGCAGTTTCACCCGAGGTGACTCGTACAACATCTCTGCAATGACTCTTGCGTCTTCCTGTGACGCTTTCTGCTCAGAGCTCGGTCCTCCGTCCTTATATCCACAAAACCAGTCCAGTAAGCGCATACACCGACTAGTCTCCCCATCACTATGGCGGCCTTCCTCTGCTCTGCTCATCTCCATCCTTAATTTACCAAATTGTTCTGCAGGGGTGGTGGCAGGAGATGTTTCTGCACTAGGTGTTGCTGGATCATGGTCAGTAGATGGGACTAAAAGTTTGACATCTGCCCCATCCAAACACCTCTGTTCTCTGACATCTGGGGGCATTTCTTTATGGAGGCTTCTATCGCCATTGCAATGGCTCTTCTCAGTCAGCCGGTACGTTTCCTCTCTGTCTTTCATGGGAGCCATTTCAATATTGCGGAGCCCCCAGAATGTGGTGGTGCGAACCTGCTGTTCATCTGGTGGGGAGGTGCAGAGACTGACCACCACTGCCACCAACCCTGAAATCCAGAACAGACCAGCTGCAAAATACATGTAGTGAACATGAGTGATGAAGGCAGGTCTATCGTCTGGCTGGTCACAGCGAGGCTGGCGGTAGATAAAGGCCAGGATCAGTCGTAGGGCACCTAGCGTGAAACCTGTCATGCCTCCCCAAAATGCACCTTTCTCATTACACCGTTTCCAGAACACACCAAGGAGGAAAAGGGCGGCAATCGGTGGAGTGAGGTAGCCAGCAACTTCCTGGATGTAGAGGTATGTCTGTCCACCTTGCATCTCAATGATGACTGGGACCCAAGCAATGCTGATTCCCACCATGAGCACAACAAACATGCGGCCCACAATCAGCAGCTCGCGCTGCGACGTTGTCTTCCTAACTGTTTGGTAGATGTCCAGGGTGAAGATGGTGCTTGCACTGTTGAAGATTGAGTCAAGATCACTCATCAGGGCAGCGATCATGACTGCCATCATAAGACCCCTGAGTCCAGTAGGCATCACCGCCATCACCAGCCGTGGATAGGCAATGTTTGAGCAGCCGGCCTGAGAGCCACAGACAGCCATGCAGTGCTCTGGCCCAATGCAGGCAATCTCATCGGCAAACAGGATGCGGGAGATCATTCCTGGAATCACTATTACAAACATGGGAAGGATCTTGAGAAATCCAGCCATGAGTGTTGAGCACTTAGCGTGAGCAATGTTCTTTGCTGCTAGTACTCTCTGAACAATGACCTGGTCTGCACACCAGTACCAAATAGATGCAGGGGTCTGGCCGAGAATGAAGCCTGGCCAAGGGATGTCTTCATCCAGGGGACCTCGAAGGATGCGTAGCGAGTTTGGTTTAGGTTCAATGCGGCAAGAAGGTGAATAAGTGTAGTTCCCAGTGGCAATTATAGCAGAAACATTAGGAACTGCCTGCATGTACTTTGTCCTGACACCCTCTAGCCCGCCAACCTTGATTAGGCTGATGATGGTTAAGGTCAGGGCTCCACCAATCATCAGCACTGCCTGAAGAGCGTCCGTATACAGCACTGCCACCAATCCACCAGTGACAGTGAGTAGTGCAGTCATGCTGATGAGCAGAACGATAGACAAATAAAGGTTCCACCCCAGGGACTCCTGAATAAAGAGAGCTCCAGCATACAAGTCCACAGATAGCTTGGTAAAAATGTAGAGCAAAACAGACAAGAAAGCAAAATAAACCTTTAGCCTGTTGCCACCGTAGCGTTTTGACAGGTACTCAGGCATGGTGTAGACTCCCGAGTGGATATACACAGGGATGAAGACCCAGCCAAGCAGCTGCAGAAGTAGCAGTGCATTAAATTCCCATGCACCCACAGCAAAGCCACTTGCTGCACCTGACCCAGCCAGGCCTATGAAATGTTCGCTGCCAATGTTACTGACGAAGAGTGATGCACCTATCACTATCCACGTCATGGAGCGTCCAGCCAGGAAGTAGCCACTCACAGTGCTCCGATTGGCTTTCCACATTGCCAAAAACCCGATGACTAGCACCAGGATAAAATACAGTGCTACCACCGCTATGTCCACTGCTGCCATTCCAGGACCCATTTTGACAGAATACCTTAAAAAAAATCTCTTGGATGTAAAGCTTGAAAATATAATTATAAATAGCCAAGGTTATGGATGTAATTAATAAAAAAAAAAAGGAGCAATGAAAATGCTTTGGTGTTTGCTGTCTGGACGGAAGCTGTAGGATCCACCGTCAGGTCAAATTCACTAGGTGTGCTTCGGATGGGGTTATCCACCGGCACTGAGGTCGTTCTAGTTTTAGAGGAGGATGTTGTAGGCTTCTGGTCTAGAAAAGCCTAGAGTTAACATTCCTGCAAGACAGCAAAGACAAACACCTCATTAGAGCCTTAAATAGAGAGGGGAAAACACTGAAGCCTCTCTAAAAAAACAAGATAGAAACACAAAGTGATGTTTAAATGTTACTGGCATCAAACTGAACAACACAATCCATAACAAGAGTCTCAAAATCACTAATGAAAGGAATGGTGAAACATTGAACATTATGCAAAACAGTGGTGCAGTGGTCTTCAACCTTTTTTGCACCACGGACCGGTTAAGCAAGAAATTTTTCTACGGACCTGTCACACAACAAAAAATAGATTTTTTTTCCAATTAAAGTTTCATAAATAAAATTACTTTTATTGCTGAATATGTGTTTACTTTTTCTTCTGTCTCTCCCACTTTCCAAAGAAGCTCTCCTGAGACGTTTGTTTTTGACTGACGTCTTCGTTTAGCAGTCTGGTATAAAAACTGACAGTCAAGTGCAGAAAACAAGCACAAACAGAAGTGACGGGAAGACGAGCTAGTCGTTTTTCAAAATAAAACACCCTGCACACCCTGCTGCAAATAAAAATAAACCAATAAAACGCTTGTATTCTTTCTGTGCGGCCCAGTACCAAATGACCTACGGCCCGTAACCAGTCCGCGGCCCGATGGTTGGGCACCGCTGCAATAAAGCACATTAAGATTTATCAGATTGACGATTTAAATTATTTAGATTTTGCAACGACAGTCTTTTTCGGAAGCCAGTCCTTGTGTTTAGCCTGCCCATGACTTTCTGCCTTAATCTTTCCAAACACAGAACAACTCAAGCTATGCCACTGTAAATTCCTCAAAGACGCATTATGTAAGACGTCAAGAAAAGTCAAGAAAGAACGAAAACATGTAGCCAAACACTAAGTAGTCTGTGCATTACCTAATGGCTGCCTGAATCTGTATAACCTTTTAATTCTTCAGGGTAATAAACATGCCTGCATACTGACATTTTAAAAAAAATCAAAATGCTCAAGACAAGCGCTCTGTGCTGGCACTTCCAACAGATTTGTGTCATTCTATTTTACAGCTTTGGCTATGAATAAATAAAGAGACAAGGGACACAGAAGTCAACAAGACATTACCTAATCGCATAAAACAAGCCCCAATTAAAAATCTCATGTTCTTTTCTTAAAAATCATCCTATACACCATGCATACATCCAAAAGTGGCTGCACTGACATTACTATGTCCTAGCCTAGAACTGGAAAAACCAGTTAGCTCAACCTGTAGGCACAAAATGTTCAGTTTGCTGTATTCTAAATAATGAAAATTCAACAGATATTTATGAAATGGATCAAATCGAGTTCTCATGTCAGTAAAAAGCAACATGCATGAGGCTTTGTGAGCACATCTGTTTTGTGTCAGTCCCAAACACACAAACACAGACTTGGAGGTCTGGCTTCTCCTGAGGTTTCAGTTTGCCATGCATAGTAGAAAATAACCCCACGCCTTGGTCTTCAAAACGCTGCCTTATGCATAACCACCCTTCTCTATAAAAGAGGTCTTTGTTTTCCTTCCACCATCTCATCATCAAGGGCTACGAGCCATGTGTTCACCATAAACTGCCCAAGAGACTCTGGCTCTGAAATACAGCAATGTCATCCAATAAATTAATTCAGTTTTACTTACAAAGTTACATAATGCTGGATAAAACATAATCACTATCCTTCCATTATGCCAAGACCTACTTATGTAGTAGTCGCTCAGTCCTTCGCCAAAAATAAGAAAATTTAGTGTTGCCAGCATCACTGGGACACTAACTTCAGCCCAGGCTGATTCAAATATCAGGTTCAAACAAAAAAATACAGGTGTCATGTTTCTCTAAAGTTTTGCTATGAGGAAGTTTACTTAGGTCTGTAATAGATATTCAGGAGCCAATAGATATGCCAAGACAAACCAGTTTTGAAATAAATAAATGCCACAGAGGTAAAATTACTGTAACCAGACACAAAAAAATAAATAAATAAAACTTGTGTTGATCAGCTGTCTTTGTGCAAGGACATTGCAGATGCATGTTGCTCTTGCACAGGTTGGCACATCTTGCAAGGGAGACACTAAATCTGAAATGGGTCGCAGGTAAAAACCAGCTGACCAGGGAGCAGAGGCATAATGGATAGCTGGTGTTCAGATTCAGAACAATGCTGCTTTAATTAATGAGCCAGATGTGGCTGACAGCCTCAGACTGCCTTTGTGAATACAAGGAAGCGGCGACACCAGTTCACGGCCAGACATGTAGGCTCAGAGGAACCAATCAGGTGGGAGGAACTTTCTAGAACAGCCACTCATTCATCCGACGGCAAAAAGCTGCGCATCTTCAGGGAGGTTTGTCGTCCTCGTTTATTTGCCAGGATTGGACGTGTGGATGTTTAACGCTACTCTCCATTTTGTCGGATATTTAGACTTTCTGACGTTAGCAGTGAAATGACGTCTCAGTTGACGGTCAGTTGAGACAGGATAGTAAATGATTGAGAGCAAAGAAAACACAGCTTCACATGCTTAACAATGACAAGAGCGTATAAATACACTTTTAACATGATTTTTTTTTTAAAACTCAGGCAGTGAACACACACATAAACACACACGGGCTCACCGGCTTCATTGTCAAAACACTAAACATGTACCTTGTTAGCTAGCGTTAGCAGACGATGCTAAAGATGCTAAAGCGGCACTCCACGCCCCACAGGGGAGAATGAAGAAGAGCTGGAGGAGGAAGTAGCAGCAGCAGAAGAAGAAGAAGAAGAGACTCCGTCTTGCTGAGAACTCGTCCTACTTGAAGGTCGCTGCTTTCTGTCTTCCCTTGCTGGGTTGTTAATTATGTGTCTTTTGCAGCCAGTTCTGCCCTCTTCTCCTCGAGCAGTGATGCCCGTCCAGCACCGCTGCTGCTCCTTCTTATAGGCGCCCGTTCAAATCCACGCCCCACCGTACACACACGTGGAGCTCACCCGTGCGGCGTTCGGGGGCTCAGAATACTACCGGAAAATTCTCAAGCTAATTATGCCCAAGTCTTGTGGTGACCTGTATGCTTGTATACACTAAGGAACAAGAAGGGCAGGTGTGTTTTGAGGAATTCAAAAGAGGAAGCCAGCGACCCCTGGACACGCCCACCTTCCAATTGAAAAGAGCTGTCACTCACTTAGTTTCAGGCTTTTTTAGCTTGATATAAATAAATTACACCTATATATTATGTCAAGTTGATAGGAGTCAAACATTTACAGGTCTACTAAACAATGTAAAACTTTAGTGGAACGGAAGATGACGTTTTTTGTATAGATATTTGCCTTATATATTATATAATAAGATTTTATTTATTTTTTGCAATTTGACAATTTGATTTATTTACTTTGCTTATTTCTATCTATATTTATTTCTTGTGTGTTTTATTCTTTATTTCTTATTATTGTTCCTATGTGAAACAGGTGCACAATACCTTTCACTGCATGCTATTCTTTGTATAACCTCTTAAGACCAAAATAAAAAATATATAAAGAAAATAAACATATATTTAAAAAATATATAAAAATATTTTATTGAATAAAAAGTATTTAAAAATAAAAAATAATATCAATAGTAAATAAAAAAAATTAAAAAAATAACTACTGTGGTAATATGACCCAAAATGTGATATCCAAGCATGTGGATGTCAGGTCTTAAGAGGATAATTGTGTTTTTGTGACAAATAAAGGCCTTGAATCTTGAATCTTAACTCCTGAATTTGTCAACTGGAAAGAGTTGTCCAACTTGATTTTTCTTTTTTCTTTTAAAGTAAACTTCCAACACAATTGCTTATTAAACAATGCTAGAAACTTGTGCAAGATTCAAGAGTTTTTATTTATTACATCCTCATACAGTATGTGCAGTAAAATGCCATTCTTTAGAATCAATACAAGATAGAAAAAAAGTCAATAAATGTCTTAAATGATAAGCAAGGTAGAGGTTGTGAAGATGACGTGCAGTGTGCGTTGTGCAAGGGTTGCAGTTGTGTGTTGCTGTGTTATGCATGAGAACACTGATGTTTGTGTGTGTGTGTGTGTGTGTGTGTGTGTGTGTGTGTGTGTGTGTGTGTGTGTATACCTACATGTTATGTGCATATGTGTATAGATTCAGTGTGCTGTAGCTGACACCTGATCCAAGCACAATTAGATACCAATGTGGCTAATTAACCTGAAATAGTAATCTCAGCTGTTGTGAATCAGAGAAACCTCTAGAAATCCCCACTCTGACTGATTACAAAAGTCTAACTCCTAATCAGATTTAAAGTGACGTTTGTAATCTGGGAAAGTCTAGAAAATTTCAACTGCTCCCTCCTTTAATAACAGGTTTGCAATGGTTTTTCATTTTGACCTTCACTTTTTCAGAACTACAGTTTTATTTTTTTTCTAAAGCCTTCCTTGATAGGAATTTTACCGTGCAGGCCAACAACAATATCAATGCCCATTAGAGATATAAAGTTAGGCATACTTAACTGTTGCAACAACACGTTTTTGTTTTACAAGTGATCTGGCACAGATGAAGCTATTCATTGCAAAGGATCGGGCAAGTGATCAAGAGGAAATAGTTGTCTTTTTAGAGCAAAAGGGAACAAACCCACCACTGAAAGCCATCCACCACCAAAAAATAGTTTATAGGAGCGTTTGTGCCATTTTTGCATTGCAGTATAATATAATTTCTCAGGGTTATGAAGTTTCTCTATGAAAAATATATATACTAATTATATTTTGTGAAATTAGGATCCTGCAAAGTGGATCCTAAAATGCAGTATGCATTTGGATGAACTTAATATGTGTGCAAGGTGAATGTGTGTGGATCCCCCTGTTATATGCATATTGTTTAATGTATTGCAACAACTGTTTATTGGACTGGTATTTTGCATTTCATCTAAGTGTGTCCATGCAGGTAGGCTGTAATAACAATAAATAAATTTTAAAAACACTATATTTCACTGCTACTTACTAAATAGTAGCAATAATAACAATAATAACAAAACAAAACATGCCATACATAGTCTTTAAAATGACAGAATTGCAATGAACATTATTGCTATAATCAGTCATATTGTAATAATCATAATAATAAATGCGAAGTGCAAAAGCAGTCAAATGAGAATGTGGTTAAACTGGCTGACTTCCAACAAAACATCCTGCAAGCCAGACACAGCTCTGCATTTTACAGAGGGAGGGAAAGAGAGTAAATTTCCACTCACTCCTCTAGACGGATATCTTGGAAATTTCCATTTCGCGTAAAACGTCATTTCCCAGAGAACCTTGCGCGTCATGCTTACGTATTTGTTGAGCGACGAGTAATGGCGGAGCTCGGTTTAGAGTTCAGCCCGAAGTCGGAATTATTTCGCTTTTTTTGTTTGTTTGCGTCTTTATTTTTGACTGCAACACTTTGGACTTCTTGTTTATTTCACTCGGAAAGCTTACTTTATTTTAATTTCACCCAAATAGACCACGGAGCCTTCAAATGCGACTACCGGGAAGTTGTTTCTCACTTGCTCGCTACAGCTGTGTCTTATTGTTTGTACATGATTTGTGTCGCAAATGAGCAAATTACAATCGTTTATTCACTGCGTGGAATTAGGATGAGATAGGAAACTGGACTGCAGTAACCTGTTTTGTTCTGTGTATGTTTACATCAGAAAACCAACCAAACCCTCCTTTATGTTAAAATAACCTTCATCTTACAACACAGCATATTCAGATGTTAACATTGAAGTAAATGAATAACCTGCACACATGGAGCCTCGTATAGCTTAAGTACTGACTATTAAATGATGTATAACCAGCTGAAATACTGAAGACATATACACGGATTCATGTCAGGTGATGACAGCATTGTAATACTGAATTATATAGAAGTTAAAACGCTTTTGCCCTTAAAGTCGCATTTTATCGTGTTATTGTCTCAAATGTGACTTTGAATGGCTGGTAAAGTGTTTGTTGTGAATGAAAAACTAATGTGTGTTAATAAATGGTTGACTAATGAACCGTTGTATTGTCTGTTTTGAAAATCACAACAGCATTTATTCTTCAAAATATATTTCAAATATGTAGGTCATTTATTATAGAATTTATTCTCATACTGAAATCAAGAGAAACATTGTCACACGATACAGTTGTCATAAAGCAGTGTCATAAAACAATAAACTAAACACTAGATATAAGCTGTAGCTGTACAGAGAGAAACAAGACGGCACGTGCATTTTCTTTTCTAATAATTCTTTGTACTCTTTTCTTTAACATTACCTGTTCTGCAGAGTACTGACCTACTAAACTTGTACACCACATGAGTATCAGAAATATTTGGAACAGTATATTCAGGGTCCCTCTGTCAAATAAAGTTTTTGGCAATTAGAAAGTGGTTATTCTTTTAAAACGAAAGCATAAACTCTGACTAATACAACTGCTATCTGTACAGTTACAGATATAAACATCAGGGCGAGCCAGTGGTTTTCCATCATGCATTTGCATAGTGAGTAATTGCAGTCTCCATAAACTGTTGTCACATGTAATTTTCCTATTGCCCATGCCAATCTCTCTAGTTTAAGTGGCCTGTTTATGTTATTGTGGTAGAGTTTTAACAGGATTTCCTTTTAGAAAGCACTTTTTAACTGTGTTTTAGAAAATTGCTTCATCAATAAGTTATTATTTATCAGAATGCAACTAAATGTCATGCATTACTCAGGAAGTGATTGATCTTGTGCAGGCCTGGCCCGCTGTCATTATCTGAAAAGATGCTGTTTGAGTTCCCTTTTTACTTACTTTATTTATCCTAGTCAGAAGACCTTTGGTGAGTTACACTGAGAGAAAATATCATTTGTGAAGATGTAGTTTAATGTCAAATGTACTTCATCTGTTTGTGCTACAGCTTCAAAGCAACACTACTGTAAAATCAGGAACAAATCTAACTAAACCATCCACTTTTAGTGATTTTGAAACATCCATCCATGCATCCATTGTCTATACACCGCTTAATCCTCAAATGGGTCACAGGGGGCTGGAGTCTATCCCAGCTGACTTAAGGTGAAGGCAGGGGACACCCTGGACAGGTCACCAGTCTATCACAGGGCCACACTTAGAGACAGACAACCAAGCACACTCACATTCACACCTACGGACAATTTAGAATCACCAATTAACCTCAACATGTTGTTGGACTGTGTGGGAGAGAACCCACGCTGCACGGGGAGAACATACAAACTCCACGCAGAAAGATCCCGGGTGTCCTCACCGGGATGTGAACTGGCAACCGTCTTGCTGCGAGGCAACCATGCAGCCAAATTCCCAAACATTCTATCAGTAAATAGATTGTAAAACTGAGCTGCCTCAAGTTAACAGGTCTGGTCAACACTCTGTAGGATGTGTCAGAACTAGTTTACAAACTTTCATCACCATATATCATCTGATTTCATATAGTCCTTTATATGCAAGTTTTGTACGATCAAAAAACAATTAGCAGCCTATTTAATATATTATTTGAGCGCCTTTTGTGGTTACGAAGAGTTTGTATATCTGTTAATGTTTACAGCAGCTGTGTGCCTTCCATCTAAGTTTATGGGATGGAAAACCACAACATCAGAGCTTTCAGGTGGAACAGGATGTGGCTCTGGGATTAGTCATTGATTTTCATCTGTTTTCTCTGTTTGACAAAACCATCTTGCAGAGCTTAACATCTATACTAGTAGTAACATGACATGATCTTTCATTAGAAGAGTGGTTACACAACATAACTAATGCATTATTCTATTTTTTGGCAATGTTTGATCATGTAAATTTAAATGTATTCTCATCACTGCAAAATGCAAACTCCATATAGAGTTATTAATCTGTATTGACGTAGAAACAACAATAAATAGGCAACAAAAGGATCATGCATTCATTTGTGCCATTACTACCCTATTCTCCTTAAAAAAAAAATAAAAGGAAAAAGAAAAAAAAATGATATTTA